GAGTACTGCGTCCAGTTTTGGGCTCCACAATTCAAAAAAGATGTGGAGAAGCTTGAGAGAGTCCAGAGAAGAGCCACACACATGATCAGAGGTCAGGAAAACAGACTTACGACGACAAGATGAGATCTATGAGGCTTTTTAGCCTGGAAAAGCGCAGGCTCAGGAGTGATCTGATGGCCACCTATAAGTTTATCGGGGTGACCATCAGTATCTGGGGGATCGTTTGTTCACTAGAGCACCCCAAGGGATGATGAGGTCGAACGATTATAAACTCCTGCAAGACCGTTTCAAGCCGGACATAACAAAGAATTTCTTTACTGTCCGAGCCCCCGAGGTCTGGAATAGTCTGCCATCGGAGGTGGTTCAAGCACTTACACTGAACACCTTCAAGAGGAAATTGGATGCTTATCTTGCTGGGATCCTATGACTCCAACTGACTTCCTGCCCTTTGGGCGGGGGGCTGGACTCAATGATCTTCCGAGGTCCCTTCCAGCCCTAATGTCTATGAAATCTATGAAATGTATAAACTCTAATTATGGGGGGGATGTCTTGAATTCAGTCATCTTGAATGTGGGTAAATATGGTTACATTCCTTATTTGCACTGCCAGCTCATCAACCAGTAAAAGCATGGTAGTTCCACTGAGTTCAACGTAACTGCCAGTTTGCACCAAGTGAAGCTTTGGTTGACTACCTTGGATGGATGTGAATAATGAAAAAAAAATAACGACAGCTTTAGAAAAAGAGGTGTCACAAAGTAAAGGACTGTTTTCTTAATATAAACAATGAGATGCTTTATTACATGTATAAATATGATCTACACAAGATTATAAAAGATAACCACTAGCTATTTTAAACAGATAATATGTTTTAAGGGGTCAGCCATTCATTCATATATTTAAATTATCTGCCCCACTAGTCTTGGTCTGCTAATGAATATACATGTGTGGATATGCTTACAGCTTAATTGTAATACATAGGCAGCCCCTTCCTTAGTTATGTGCACTGCTGAGCCAACAGGAATCCCCAAATTAAACTTGTTTGCACTCAAATTTGCATTCCAAAAGATATTTCTTCCATTACAACGGACAAAAATAATAATAAATTACTTGGTCATGTTTCTTGCTAAGAAATCCTTCCTACAGATCTCTCCCATTCCTGGAAAGTGGTTGATTCTCTGGAAAAAAAAATGTTGGAATTTTTATATTCTTACTTGTGCAATATCACAGATAAACAGTTTAAACATTAAACTAAAAGTTCAATGAAACGTTCAATTAATATATAAAGAGAATCAAGAGAGAAAAGAGTATATTCCAAATTATGTTAGATATCTTCAAGAACTACCTAGATATTATAAATTGCATTCTGCTCTCCCACCAGATTAAACCTGGATATCTCTGACAATGTCTGTTCATGCGAGTTGCTATTCAGAAAGTTCTACGTGAATAAGGATGTTGTCAGAGACTTATGAACAGAAAAATGACTATTTAGTCACAAGTACTGCAAAGAAATACACTGATTATCAGGGATCTGGGTTTTCAGTTCACTGCGGGAAAGCATGGAAAAATGCAGGATTTCCTCCTTTAACAGAGAAAAACACAGATTTTTTCTTTTAAAGGAGAAAATCACGTATTTTCCCTTTTAGAGAAAAAAGAACACCAGAAACAGTGGGTTTCTCATTGCAGGCTGGCTAAGTCCCATCTGGCAAGGGGCTGCTTGGAGCTGCAGGGAGTAGGAGGAGGGCAATCAAAGGCAGGGAGCATGTGGCAGCCAGGCAGCAGTGGACTGTAGTTCCTTCCAGGTAGGTCTATAGGGGCAGTGGGAGGTGGACACTAGGTGCACAGGCCACACAGAGGGGGGGGGCACAGGTCTCAGGGGGAGACGCATGTGGCTCCTCAGATTTCTGCACCCACAGTCGGATACAGGGCTCCAGCCAGGCTGGACCAGCTCCAGGAAGGAGCCGCCTCTGTGGCCATGGCTGCCAAGGCAGCAGTGGAAGCTCAACTCTGCACCACTGCCACTGCCCCTTCTGTACCACCCCGTGACAATGCAGCACTCCTTCCAGTGCCGGATCCTGCCCACTGAGCCACAGAGGTGGCTCCTGCTTGGCTGCAGCCCCACACCCCACTGGGAGTGCAGAAGTCTAAGGGTGCACCTGCCCTCCCACTGCGTCGCCTGTTCCCTGCTACCTTCCCCATACACCCAATCTCTTTCTCAGACACTGGTAGTAAGGGGCAGCAAGTTGGGAGTGAGGGGCACCAGAAGGGCTGGCGGGGGGGCGGGGGGTGGAGGGGAGCTAAAGCTTGGGAGTGAGGGGCAATGGCAGAGGCAGGGCATCAGTATATTGGGGCTACTCAGCAGCACAAAACAGTGTTGGAGACAGCCGCAGTTGAACCCATATCCTGGTGAGTGAAGGGGTTAAGGAGAGCTCTGATTTTCCATGATAAAAAACCCAAAATCAAATGTCAAAATTACAGGTATTTAGAATTCATTTCATTATAGTGGCTGACGTACTAGTAGGCTTCCAAACTGCTTTAAAATTGTACATATATCAATAAAAAATTGTGTTCAACTGAAAATCAATGGTGTGTGCAAGTGTGAGCGAGTGTGTGAGAGAGAGAGAGAGATAGCAGTGTTTTATTTTAATCACAGAAAAATGCAGATTTGAGGGTTTTAATCAGGGAATTTGCAATTTTTAAACAGAGAAAGCCAGGATCCCTGCTGATTATCTAACCGTTTCAAAGATTATAACGTAAGTAATGTTTTTGCATCTTTAACACACTGCTCAAACTCTTTGAATGCCCACTTATAAATTGTAGGCTGAAGAACCTACAGTATTAAACAGTATTAAAGATTTGTAGGCCAAAGTCCAAGGGACAGAGAAACTTAATATTATAAAATAGGGATAGGACTTGGTGTCAAAATCTTTGAGGCAGTTTGACTGTCATCTCTGCTTTCCAGTCTCATGATGTCTGCAACTGACCCAAAAAGGCTTCAAAAGACTTCAGAATAGAATAGTTTTTCTTACCTGATTCAGGACACCTAAGTAAGCTATACCTACCTGATAGTTTCTGAGCTCAGCAATCTTCTCCTGCTGCACAGCAGAATCACTCCATATAAGATTAGCTGTTTCGTCTTCATCTCGCATCTTCACAAAGCCCATCTCATCTATTACTAAGCGAACTACAAGGGAATTATATATTTAAATTAAATTTAAATAATTTTAAGCAACCTACCAAATCTAAAATAAAACATTAATTTTCCAGTATAGAGACTCTTCTTTAGCCACACTGCATCATTAGTGTAGAAGGCAGCAAAGTACATACTGCTGAATTTATGATACTCAGTTTGGAAGGTCTCCATCTGCCTATTGCATAACTGTAATCAGCATCATCCGAGCTTATAATGTAGCTGGAAACACATTTTAATCAGTGTAGGAACTATAAAGAGCTTCTAGGTGGTCCAAAATTGTGTAATAACAATCCATTTGCACTTAAATGGATAAGACTTTAGCTTTGCCTTGGTATGTGTTAATTTTAAAGCAGCAATGACTATAGGTGCCACTGTAATCAGGAGATAAAGAAGGGTCCTAACATTGAGGATGTAATACTTAAAGCCAAGCAATGGATTATTTTTATATATTAAATTAAAAAGAAGTCCAATTCTATAGCAAAAATAAGTAATGATGTAAGAGAAAAGATTTTTCTAATGAATTTGCAAAAGGGAGATGCTTTCCCTGTAATTTCCCTGCCTTTAGGTAAAGCTTTCAAAGATCTGTATGATACACTTGCTCCAATATCATCTCTCATGAGATGGGACCAGGCTCCAGATTTCCCTCTTTGACAAACTCACCCAGCTGGCCAAAGGTCCAGCTGAATATTCCAATGGCTATTAAAATTCGCTGCAATTCACTCAAGATTATACACACTTAAACATGTTCGTTCAGTGTTTTTGCACAATGAAGAGTACAGTTTAAGGGACAAAAATTTAACTGGTTCCAGATTAAATTTATTTTAAATCCTAGATTAAGTGGCAAAAAAGGGAAGCATATGAGCTAAACTGCAATCTGGACCTTTCATAGATGCCCATTTATCTAAATATGAATAAACTTAACTAACAATCATCTAAATACGGCTGAATTTAAAACTTATTCTCATTAAAGAGCAGTCACTTCAAGGATAAGAGGACCTATTATGATAACTAATGCCACTGAAATTCAGGACTCTGGCAGGCCAGAAGTCTTATCTTTGGCCAGAGATTGTAGTCAAGGTGGCATTGCACAGAATGAAGAGGGAGAGCTGAATATTTTTCAGTGACAACTGAGAATTCCACTGGGAAGGAAAAGCTTGTATCTTGAGACTGGCTTATTTATCCTTTTGGAAGCTGTCACTAAAGCAAGCTCATTATAGGAGCTGCTAAGTTAATAACATTTTATAAAGAGGGGATATAGATATAGGGGATGTGTGTGCATGTGTGGGGGAGTGGGTCTGATCTAATTGTTTATCATTAATCAACTCAGAGCAGTGACCACATCACCCAGTTAATTTTTCACTTTGTATTAGGCCAAAACCCAAAGTTATGTCACACTCAAAGTTTTTCTATTCTGAATCCAAAAAATACCTAATTTTGTTAAACCCTATTTTATCAACATCACTAAGATATAACGTAAAATTAATGTGATGGTAGACTCATGTGTAAAAAGAAATGCATCTGTTTCCTTCAAGACTCTTGGCTATAATCATCATAGGTCCCTGAATTTAGGTTTAGAAAATTAGAATTGTCTTTATTCAAGACTTTAAAATTTTAACTAAATTCACATATAACGTGTCATTGAGATTTTTTTCCCTAAGATTCCCTGTTTTAATTGCTTGTTGACACCTTAATGGCCTAAACCCACATAACACAACAGGATTTATGCCCCAAGCATTCAAGACTAGCAACTAAATATTAAACTATACTCAAAGCGATTCCTATGGAAAAAACATTCCTAAAGTAGTAATTCAATACTGGCTTGAACCAAACTCTACTGGAGGTTAGAGGGAGTCTTTTCATTGACTGCAATGGGCTTTATCTCCAAATTCTTGTTTCATGCCTTTTCACCTTCCCAACAGCTATTAATGTAATCAGACTCTGTAGCTTCCTACCAATTTCATATTTTGTGCCAGCAATATTTGCAGTGATGACTCCATTCTTTTTCTTCTTTCTGACTTTTCTTTTAATTGTGCTTTGATAAGGCAGTTCTGAACTCAAAGTCAGGCGAGAGGTTCCTTGATTATCTTTAAAAAATAGTAACAATAATCAGAAAGCAATGCATACAAAGGAAAACATCACAGTACACAAAAAGCGTGTGAGATAGCCAGTAACAGTTATCTGATTTAAGCTAAATAGAAATTATAAGCATAATGAAGCTGCATCATTAGTAAGGCATATTAAAAATATGAGATTCCTATAATTAGTTTTCATACCTCCTTCATTAGGCAAGGACGGCATTATAACTTCAGGTGGTACACAAGTAGAATCCAAATCCTGTTCCAAATTCTCAGAAAAAAATAGAGGCCTTCAAAAAGTCAAATTATTCAAAGCTCTTATCAGACCATTTAAAATGTCCAGATTTAGGAATTTTCAGTTATAGTAGAGATGGGAATCTGTGTTTTAAACAAAAGAAAAGGATTTTGTTATAAAGGATTGCCTGCTAAAATATAACTATACAGAAACTGGTGTAGAATTTTTTTACAATGATTTTAGAGAATTTTTCAAAAACCTGCAGATTTATTCACCAGAATGCAAATTTCTAAAATGTAGTTTTCTATTCCTGAAAAAATCATTTAGCTATATTAAAGATAAATGTTTATAAGCTTCTATTTAATACATGGATAGCTTATGTATAACAACACTTTACATTAATATATTTGAGAGGTTTATATTTATATTTAAATTCAGTTAATGCAAGGAAATTTATTCCTTGCAAGTACACTGAAGTTAGAGTTAAGTTCCAACCATATGGTAATTTAAAGAATTAAAATAATAGAATACTGGTGAAGGTTCCAGTCACCATTAAGTGAAAAACCAATACTACTGAATTTATGTTAGATAATCAACATAATTTAATTTGAGGCCAAAACCTAATAACTACCAATTTGCATACAACACCATGTTCATTTGTCTTGTGTATTTACATATTTAACATGTTTGTATTTTCTGAATATTAACTAACTCTGAATTGCATGGCTTTATAATGCTTATTTCCTATATAATATTATTTCTTTCAACTGTAACTCCATGTTATTACAAGTTTTGCCTAGGAACACTGCATGACATGGAATTTTATGTATTAAAATGATTTTAAGAGTAATTCCTACGCACATGAGACCATCTGGCAAAAGGTTAATAAATGTACCTTCTGAAAAAGGGTAAACACACTGATGTAAATATTTTGTTGCATACATTCAATCATGTTTCCTAATCACATAAAAGTTTATAATGATAAAAGAAGGCCTTGTCTGGCAGGATGCCTGAAGCAAACTTACAAATTATGCATGGAAGAAAAAACTTAATATTTGAGGCTATTTCTACAGTTTTAAAGCTTTTTAATTTTTTGTGCAATAGTGAGCATAGTTAAATATTCTCCATGCTGGCTTAGCACAATATACAATTTAATGTGTAGTACTTGCAGAAACTATTTAAAGCAGCTGTAAACAAAACTAGAAGCATTCTTCTGCTTTATTTAGCTTCACTCAAGGATGAATGTTGTGTGATAATAAAATACAGATTTCTAAAGCTAAAGCAGCATACGTGCTTTAATTCATGTATATTATACATCACACAAATAAACGCAACACTACACATCTACTGCAAAATATAAACAAGTACATTCAAGCAAAACGAAAGCTTTGATTTAAAGTTTGTTTGTTCCACGGTCCTTTCTTCAGGCTGCAACTAAACTGCCAGTACTACTCTGTGAAACCAGTTAGCTCAATGAGCTGCGTAAGATCCAAATCAGGGCAGAATTTCATCCAGAATATTAACTATGAGTTCTCTTCCTCCTGTTTTAGATGCAATCATGATACACTTCATAAACATCTTTAGACAAGTGAGCATGAAAACACTTTAATAGCAAAAATAATAGTAAAAATCCACAAAAAATAAGATGCAAGACTAGTTCTCAATTCAATTTAGGGTTTATCTATAAAATTCCCACTCATGTAACTGGATTAAGAGCAGCACTAGAATGATGTTCATGATTGAAGCTAATCTGAAAGCTCCTAGAAGTCAGATACCACTTTGAATTCCAGTGGTATCAATGAAATCATACCAGCAATATGAAACCTGAAATCTGACCCTTTGCATCTATCCAAAATGCTAGCGACAGACTTTTTACATGTAAATCATGGCAGAAAGTGGTTAAGATATAAGGTACAGATGCACATTTTTATAACATCTGATCTCTGCCGGAAATTTTTGTGATTGGATTAAAAATTCAAGATACCTTGGTGGTTGATTGTTCTAAACAACATCAACCAAGAAAGTGGTCAGATGATTCTACTGCCCAATGCCATGTAAAAACTGTACGGAAGAGGGGAGTACTCTTTCTCTTAGAAGACAATACTAAAGCCAAAAAGTACTGACTACAATGACTCATTGGCCTCTGCTTGTTTCTCAGGCTCAGAATACTGCCAGAGTACAGGACATGTTTTGTTTTTGTTAATGAAGCTTCAAGCATTTCTATTCACCAGTTAAGGACTTGGAAAACACACACACATTCCTAGCAGTTGTTCATCATCTGTGCTTGCTAAAAACTGCATCAAATTTGGACAAATGTCTAGTAGCCTAATAATACTACTGAAGAAGCACCAAACTTTACTAATACAATACAACTTAAATCCTAATTGATTGCAAATTGGTAACCATTTACACAATGTCATGAGCCAGTTGACAGAGCTCTGTAGTTATTTATAGCTTTCCCTAAAACAATGGAAAAACAGTAAAATGATATAATTATATACTTACAAAATTACATAATTTGTGGTTATTGGTAAAAGCATACAATTACATTACACAAAAGTAAACTGAACATATGATGATACAAAAAACTGATAAAATAAAGCAATATCAAATAGAGTAGAAAAAAAGTAAGGAATCCCATCTGGCCTTTATTCTTTGTGTAAGCAGCACAAGTACACCTACTGAGCATAGCATAGAGTGTAAATTGCTAGATTAGCCAAATAGTTTTTCTTCATTAGCCTAATACTTAGAAGTTTCCACTAAAGAAGATACACATTTTCCTCTTATTTCTTCAAAGAACAAATAAGACCACAAAAAGTCATAATCTAATTCTTCCTGCAAGAACATATCCTGCCCAAATGTGGGGTCTGATGCCATTTGCCCATGACGACTGCAGTTCTCATTAGAGCGAATCCCAACCTAGTAATGGTCTCATGTTGTTTGTGGCTTTGTACTTCAGATAGATATGTTTCTAGGTCAAAGAAGTGCTTTAATCTCAAAAAAGGAGAAGTGTTAGAAAAATCTCACTACCTGCATACCCATCTGTATGCTGTCCTCTTTAATTCTTAAATGTATATCTTGTTTTAAATACGGGGAAAATACTGGGTCAGTAGCAGTCAGTACAGTTCCAAGGTCATTTGTTGGATGACAGTATAAGTGTTATTTAACTATCCAAATAAAGGTTTATTTGGAAGAAAGGAGGCTTTTTAAAATGCACTTCTCGGGGTATCTGAGTTAGCTTTGCCTCTCCCTCCTTCCCTCCCCCCCAACCCCATCATTCTTCACAGGCAAGTTGGTAGTTACTATAATAAAAAGCTATTGGTCTTCCACACCTCACATGCCAGAGCATCTCTAGGAAAATAAGTCTCTAACTTACTATAAGAGGACTTGTATTGAACATCGCAAGGAAGGGACAGAGTTAATTCATTATTTAATGGACCAGAATCTGCTCTCATTTACAGTAATGTAATTTAATATCTTCTAGTCTGCAATTGGGTAATTGAGAGCTAAATTTGTACTAAATGCCCCACTTAATTAAGCTGCTTGGGACATTCAGCACATCTGACTGCAACTGATGGAAGAAATGTGCAGGTAACCTTTAATGCTTTTTATGCATGGTTTACTTTTGTGGTTATATGTCTAAGAGAAAACAGATCTATTTAACTAGTGCTCCTCAGAAAAAATATCTATTTATTGATCCTTGAAATAAACCTTTTGCTAACAAGATTATGGATTACATAATTTTCACCATTACAGTTGCTCTTCAATAGATTTCATGATGCTCTTCAATAGATTTCAAATCTTGTTACAAAGAACAAAAATAATCTTTTTGTGCAATCTTTGTTACTTCTATTCTTCCAGGGCAAAAAATATCGCTACTATGTTGTACACAAAACTCAACCTGTACAATTTTGCCTTTAATAGCCATTGCTCCAAACTGATTCTCCAAAGGAAATTTAGCTGTATTTGCACTTGAAAACTATACATATATATGAACATTAATGCTGTTTTGAAATTCCTTCACTTGTCTGAAATAGTTTAGTTTTAGGACATGATCTCCAAACAACTGTTTCATTTAATTCTGTACACTGTTTCATCCAGACTTATCACTAAAAACCTGACATGATTGTTATAGACCTCTCATAGGAAAGTAGGGTTGGAAAGGACCATATGAGGTCATCTAGTCCAACCCCCTGACTCACCCATCTCTGTCATGTGCCTATTTAACCTGTTCTTGACAATTTCCAGTGATGGAGATTCCACAACCTCCCTAGGTAGCTTGTTTTCAATGGTTAATCATCCTCACAGTAAAGAAAAATCCTCCAGATCTCCAACCTACATTCCCTCTGCTGCAATTTGAGACAGTTGCTCCTAGTCCCACTCCCTATGGCCACAAAGAATAGTGCATCGCCATCCTCTTTATATTCACCCTTCGAGTGTTTGAAGACTTATCAAGCCCCACCCCTTCCCTTCAGTCTTCCTTTCTCCAGATTAAATAGTGCTAGTTCTTTCAGACTTTCCTCATGTCACATTTCCCAGGTCTCTAATCATTTTTGTCACTCTCTGCTGATCTCTTTCTAATCTGTACACATCTTTCTTAAAGTCCAGGCCCAAAACTGGACAGCATTCAAGGCCTCATCAGTGCTGAATAGAGTGAATGAACTGATTTCCCTGATTTGCAAGAGACAGTTTATACAACCCAGCATGTTGTTGTTCTTTTTTTTTTGTTTTTGTTTGGGGGGGGGGATTGGTTTTTTTGCAACAAGTGCACAATTGGCTCATATGCAACCTGTAATCCACTGTAACACCCAGGTCCTTTTCTTCAGTACTGCAGCCTTGCCAGTCTTCCCCAGTCTGTACATGTAATAATTCTGTCCCAAAAGCAGGATTTGACACTTTTCGTTGCTAAATTTCATCTTATTGATTATGGACCATTTTTCCAGTTCATCCAGGTCATTCTGAATTCTAGCCCTACTCTCCTGAGTGTCAGTAACTTCATCCAACTTGCTGTCATCTGAAAATTAGTTAATCATGTGCTCAGGCCCATGATTTAGAATCATTAATTAAGATGTCAAACAATATCAGATCAAGGACAAACCCCTGGAGAACCCCACTGGATACCTCCTCCCCACTATGCATT